AAAATGCTGCTGATGATGATAGAAACGTCTACGTCGTGCTTTAAGTGATTTTATGGACTTCATATCTGAGGTGCTCAGGAACCAAGACATTGGCATAACTAGATTATTTTCAGAGAAATAGCGTAGTCTCCCAGTTCGTCAGCCGCTAGCGTAATAATCAAGACAGATCAGAATGGTCAAAAGCTAGCATATTACAGTTCAGAAGAAACTGAAAGGAGGTCAGTTGTCGATGAAAAATCTTTCGTTCGTATTTGCAATAAATACCCCTAATATCCAATGTGCTAATCGTTAAACTGATCGAACACGCCGCGGATTTTAAACAGGATACGACCTGCAACGTTGTGAAAAATGGATGATGAGTGAAAATCTGTTCAGTCGCGCAGTTCTTGTCATTAAAATTACGCTGTCGGTTGTTGTCGCTTGAGAAATTGTAATCGCGAAACAAGTTATTTTAATTGACGTTGAGCTACTGATCTAAAAAAACATTTGTACACAGTGAATACGAACTTGCGTCAATCTGTACAGTTTAACTGAGCCAGCAGAAGAATCGGCCTGGAGAAAAGAGAAACACAGAAAGAATTTGGCATTAATTGAGCGTTCAGTGTCAAAGAAATGCGTTGTAGTACTAATTAAAGGTAGGACGAGTCGCATATGACGCAATTCGACTGAAGAACTGAAGCGAATCTGCGTTGTCTTCGGCGTACTGCCATCGCAGCGGCTATCACAGCAACTGCTGTTATGCACAAACGTCTACAAAAATGAACTGAACTGTGCAGCTGTCGTTACCACGAAGTGATGGTTCGCTTCTGAACAGTGCTTGGACCGCAGTTCTGCAATAAGGATCGGGGGACAACTCTTCTCAATCGTGTCCTATTGAAAATATGATGAGGTGACGTAGACTCAGGCGCTGGCATCTTTTCGGTCAGAAGCAGTGCGGAAGTCTCTGATTTTGACGGCGAGCATTCAGACGGGGAAAGTTGTCGTAGTCTGACACCCGGCGAAGAGCTCACCGCTGTACGTTCGTCCTTAATACCCGGTTTAGTAGATTCGACCAACTTTTCGCGTGAGACTTGTTTAATTTTCTCTCGCGTTTCCAGACTCAGCATGTCTTGAAAATCTGGGTGCACGTTCAGATGCCGACAATGGTCAGCCAGACTCTGAACAATGCTGGCCGTGTGCGACACTTCCGCCGAGGTACCGGTGAGAAATATACGACGTGCCGTCGACAGGTCCCCGTCACTGCTGTACTGTGAGGGCTTTCTCGCCGCAGGGTAAGACCGTTCGCTGGCACTCGCTTCCTCAGAACTCGCTGCCGACGTGCTCCCAATCGCTTCCATCTGGGATTCAGAAGTTGGGCAGCAACGATGGCGCGCAATTTCTTCGTCAATATTACGTTCTACATAACTGGCAGCGCTGAACACGCGATTTCGTGCATCGGCCACATTGTTCTGTTTGGTACTGGAAGTCGGCGTGATCGAATGGGCTCTTCGTTGCACATCTGTGAACGATACGACGTTCATAAAACGTAATCAATTTTGAAACAAACATGTAACCGTACCCTTTTCGGCTGCATCCATCACCTGCAGCAGGTTCTCGATACGCGTGCCACACAGTTCGTAGCTGTGCTTTTGAACAAAACGATCGTCAGAAATTTCCGATCCAAAAATGCGTTCGCACTGAAAAGTTTACCCTTTGAGGTCAAAGACCAAAAGCGTTTCACTGAACAATAGAATGAGTAAAATGCAACTACATACAAAAGGAACTTCTATCGATAATGAAAACAAGGTGAGATAAAAACATACCCAAGGAAGTCACTGATTAACAAGTTACCACACCAAATCGAGAAACTAACAAAACATCACAGCCATCGCACTGCTCAAGGTCGCTAGCAGTGGACAGAATTCAATTCGAAGGCTTCAGGGGATAACACAGCCGCCTACTATAAGTTACCTGCTAATATGTCGTAATAACCTAATACTTTCGATTGCACAACAGCAATGCTGCGTTAATCTTGACAGAATTTGGAGTCTCATCCCATAGGCTCCTAACTAACTA